TGGCGAGAAATCCATCGTCGCAAACAATTCAAATAATATAAAAAAACCTCCTAATCTGTTATGAATGAAAAGATCCTTGTTTCCATAAATTTCTGCCGCATTAGTTCTTATTTTTTACTACAAGCTTTCGTCTGTTCCTACAGACATCTTCAGGTATGGAATAGATGTTGTTCTTGTTTTTCTCTTAGTAATAAGAGGACAACGAAAATATATGTATTGTTGTATCCGAAAAATGCTATTGGAAATGAGTTATTGTTTTTGGAGCGTGCAATAGCAACGCTGAGTTTGATTTTAAATTTTTTACAGTTGTGCGTTCATGTACAAATATGGTGCTGAACGAATTTTTTACTGGTAAATTTTCTGTCAAAGTGGCATGAACTATATTGTTCAATAATTACAGTAATGTCGCACTTATTATCCAAAAGTCGCACTTGGATCAGTTATTTTAATTTCGATAAACGTGCAATCAATTTACAAATTCATGAATTATTCACACAAAAACAAATGCAAAGGTTAATGATTTAATTGGCGAGAAATCCATCGTCCCAAACAATTCAAATAATATACAAACCAAGTATAGGATTGGTGTATACGGAATAAATTCCAAAAACCAAAAAATACTATTTTTAAAAGAGTGCTCAATACAGAGCAGAGCAAATATATATATATCTAAATATGCCTACGTATCTGTGTATTATATTCTAATTGTGTATGTATTGTCTTTTGCAAAGATTTCACCCTCCTCTGCCTACATCATCACTTTAAATGTATCTAAGTTGTAACGAAGCTCAGAGCAACATTAGATTTTAACATTTATTCTAACTTAATGTTTGGCCTTTCAATAAAAACAAAATAAATAAAAAACATGTATTTTTTCCTCAGTTTCTTCTTTAAATAATTTTATAATTTTTAAAACTTGATACAGATTACATTTAAAATTTGAAATTGGTATCTTTTAATTTTATAGTAAAATTTAATATTAATTAGTTAGAATGAATTCTATTTTAGTCTAACCATATCATTAAAGCATTAATTAATTATTATAATTAAGGTTCGTTTTCAAGTTTTTTGAATTCTCATATATTTGTATTTTGATTGATCATTCTAGCCTATGTAACAGCGTTTTCCCTAGCGAGGGGTGTTTGATTGATTTGAACCTTTTAAAAAACTTTATTCTACATTCAACACCATCACTTAATAAGACACCAGTGTTGAAACAAAATGGCTATTTTATAGTGATTTTATAACATATTTATGTTATAATTTTCGAATGAAGAATTATATATATATATATATATATATATATATATATATATATATATATATATATATATATATATTGTTTATACGTTATTTTATAGATACAAATATTTAAGCAAAAGCTCTGTTTATAATAAACAGTATTAACAACATTTACCGGCCTTAATATCCAAGAATAAAAATCTCAGGCCGATAAATGTTGTTAATACTGTTTATTATAAATAGAGGATTTACTTGAATAGTTGTATCTATAAAAAGAACGTGCAAAAAAAAATATATTAAAATCATTGTTCGACTTAGTCCATTTCATAATATATTATGTTATTTGTTTGCGTTAAGATAAGCTTTGAGCAGAGATGAACGTTCGACAGGAATCATTGGAAGATTGTAATTCAAAAACAGTAATTTAACCTTACTAGCCAGACGCTTCCACTGTAGCTAAATAGTATAGCACGTCAGGCTATATGGTGGTTCCGCGTAAGCTACAGGTTCGGAGCCACAATTTTTTTCTTTTCCAGGCCAGTAAATGTTGTTAATTAAAAACAGAGCCGTTACTTAAATATTTGTATTTATAAAAATAACGTATGAACAAAAAATATTAAAATACTTGTCGGACTTAGTCCATTTCATAATACACACACACACACACACACACACACACACACACACACATATATATATATATAATATCGTACATTAAGTGCTGGTGTTAATAAAACAGTGCTCGATGCAATATAACAAATCTATAGATTATAACTGGCCGTTACATAACTTTACATTATGTTAAGGTCGGTCTTAATTCACCACCATATATATATATATATATATATATATATATATATATATATATATATAAACATTTAATTTTATTCATTATAAAATATGTCTGTATGCCTGCGCGCTCACGCGCGTGTGTATGTGTGTGTGTGTGTGTGTGTGTGTGTGGTTCTAGCTATTACAATTTAATTTTACCCCTAATATGACTACTTTGCATATTATAATTCGGGAATATTTTCAAGTTTAGAATTTATTTTTGAAATAATTCTTCGATTATTTTACTTGTTTCGTCAATATTTCGTCAATATTTCTGAAATATCGATCTGACGTTTTATGTTGATGGCGAATTACAGGTCGAAATTACATTCAATTGAAATATCAATTGTATGAAAATATCGGAAAAATTTCACTTAATTCTTCTCAATGCTCACTTACACAAAGTCGTACAATATTCCTAATCCTCGTTCAGTCGACTGCAGTTATTATTACATGTATTGCAATACATCTTTTTTTTTTCTATTACGATTAATCATTGAAACTTTTATTTATTTATTTTTTTATTTTTTTATTTCTCTCCCAGTAACTCATTATGTCTCAGTGGCATTATTGCCTTGCTTGGGGTGAACTCGATTAAAAAATAAATCTGAAATTTAAACGATATGATTAGAAAAATGCACGGTAACTTTCCAAACACATTGTTAGGTCTTCTTCATTTTAACTCCTCGAAAACTAAACTTCTTTCTATTAATCATCTGAGAAAATCTGCTCTGCCTTCCATCAACATGGCTGATACTGTCCTCTACGAAAGTGACGCCTTGCGCCTTCTGGGGCTAAAGTTCTCAGCTGACATGAAGTGAAAAAACTATGATAGATTGTATTCAGTGTCGGAACTAAATATGTTCGTATGCCTGCTCGCACGTGTACGTGTGTGTGTCTCTGTGTGTGGTCTTTGCTATTACAATCTAACTTTAACCCTAATATGACTACTTTTCATATTATAATTAGGGAATATTTTCAAGTTTAGATTTATTTTGGAATTTATTTTTGGAAATAATTCTTTGATTATATTCCTTGTTTCGTCAATATTTCTGAAATATTTCTGGAATATCGATCTGATTTTTTATGTCGATGGCGAATTACTGGTAGAAATTACATTCAATTGAAATATCAATTGTATCAAAATATCGGAAACGTTTCTCTTACTTCTTCTCCTCATTGCTCACTTGCACAAAGTCGTACAATATTCCTAATCCTCGTTCAGTCGACTGCAGTTATTATTACATGTATTGCAATCTCTCTTTATATTTTTTTTTCAATGACGATTAATCATTGAGACTTTTATTTATTTTTTTTTGTTATTTCATGTTTTTGTCTGACGCATATTTCGATGCGTCTTTGCTAGTGTGAGTCACACTTTTTGAGAGAGGAAAATACCGTACCTATCTTTACATCTCTCTGTCGTATTGGGGAGGAGAGTTTGCATATGTTTGTGCGAGGGTGGGGAGCAGATCAGCGGAGAAATGTATGTTAGTGAATAAAAACATACTAAATAAATCATCAGAAACATAAAAGAAACAAAGAAAAGAAGAAATAAAGGAAACACACACACGCACAAACACACGCATACACACACATATATATATATACACACACACATTTATATATATGTGTGTGTGTGTGTATGTGTGCGTGCGTGTGTGTGTATTAATGTAATACGAAAGAACAGTTAGATTAATGATCCAAATTTCTTTAGTATTTATGTTTTTATTTAAAAAAATAAACAGTGTTCAATACAGAAGTAGAGCTTAAAATGATATTTTTTTATAAAAAATATGATTACATCGCGACACATAAATTACTATGTTTCGAAACTGACTCAAGTCCTTAAGATTAATTTCAATATTGAACTTTAAATTTAGAGTACAGTTTCATTCTCAAGCGATGTTGAGAATAACTAACTGAAGAAATGTTTTACTCATTGATAAGTTGGAAATGGAAGTGTAATCCAGGGTTTAATCTTTCATTATCAAGGGGTCTCTATTTTGATGAAAGAATGAATGTTTATTATATGTAAAATTTTTGGAGTCGTGTAAAGTTGTTTTGGGGGATTTTTATCTCGCAACAGTGGCCTTTTTTATCAGATTCTGTTGTTTTTATTAGAATTTGTTAAAACTTACTGATTGATGTTCTAGTTACAGTCATTTTTGGTCTTTATTTGTTGTATTTTTTTCATTGATGGTTTCTTAAAGGGATGCTTAGATATGACCGGGTTGTATATTTAATCATATTGTTTTATACGTGTCCGCAATAAATTTAATTTGCTAATAGATTTTATATGGCATTCTGTAATTATTTTATATATGTTGTATTGTGGAATATTTTTTTACATATATTTTAGGATTTATATTATATTATATTATATTATATATATATATATATATATATATATATATATATATATATATATATGTATATATATATATATATATATATATATATATATATATATATATATATATATAAAGAAAAAACAGTAAGATATATAATCTGGTGTTCTTATAGATATTTTTATTTTTTACAAATGAAACATGGTTAGAACTGTGTAGCGAAAATAACCGTATTTTAAATCAATTAATTTATAATATATATATATATATATATATATATATATATATTAAATGAAAATTAACGAAAACAAATAATGAGAAAGAATAGTAATATTTATAATCCGGTGTTGTTCTTATTATTTTTTATTTTTAAATATATTAAGGCGTTAATAAAATATATCCAAAATCTGTTGTCAAGTTTTTAGAATTATTATATACTTGTATTTTGATTGGTCATTGTAGCTTACTTACTAATGTTTCACCAATTGTGGGGGGTTTGGTTGATTTTGAACTCTCGTTATTCCACAATCAACGGACAAAAAGTGTTGAAACAAAATGGCTATTTTTGTAGTTATGTTAAGAAAGAAAGAAAGAAAGAAAGAAAGAATGAGTGAGTGGAAAGAAAGAAAGAAAGTGGAAGGAAAAGCAAACAAAATTCAATAAATGGAAACAAGAAAAGGAAAGAAAAAGAAACATACCTAGGAAGAAATAAAATATATATATATATATATATATATATATATATATATATATATGGAGAGAGAGAGAGAGAGAGAGAGAGAAAGAAAGAAAATTAACAAAAAGCAAATATATATATATAAAGAAAGAAAAAGAAAGAAAAACAAATATCCAGAAAGAAAGAAAGAAAGAATGAATGAATGAATAGAAAAAAATAGAAAAAAGCGTGGGAATAAAACAAAATAGAGGAAATGGAAAAAAAAAATGAAAAAATATTAAAAGCAAAATGAAAGTAAAAGAATGAAAGATCAATCGAAAGAAAGAAAGAAAAAGAAAGAAAGAAAGAAAGAAAGAAAAAGAAAGAAAGAAAGAAAAAGAAAGAAAAAAGAAAAAGAAAGAAAAAGAGAGAAAGATGCACTGAGTTGAAAGATTACCATTTATCTTTTTTCCTTTATTTATTGATAAATTTGGGATCAATCTCGGTTCGAGTTGGAATTGATACTTGAGTACTTAATAATAAGTATATAGTATGCCCTACAGCCAATAACGCCACAGAGATCATAATTTCTCCATCACCAAGCCTACGTGAAACCCTTTTTGATTTTTCACATCATATTTCATACCAAATAAGATATAGTACTCAATCCTGTCAAGATGAAAGTTCTTTTTATCTGTCCACATCACATTCTGTAGATTATGGCGTTCTTGGACACTCAACTGAGACCATTTGCATCTGGCTTCTTTGTGACGTTTACGCAAATACGGTTTCGTTTTAGCTCACATTAATACGATATGAGCGTTACTGGCGAAAAATTTGTGAACGTAAGATTTCTATACTTGTACATGGACTATTGTTTGTGCAATTATCGGAACATATTTGGATGGATTTTCTACTTCTTTTCTTACAATTCGTCGTCCAGTCTGCGAAGATGTCATGTCAGTTCGTTTCCGTTCTTCAGTCAATATTCATAAAAATGTTGTGGGTCACAAGAGCCACAAGGTCAAAGTTGGAGGATAAACCATAGGAAGTAAAAAGAAAATGCTACAAACAAAGAGAAAAAGACAGATGAAATTTTTGGGACGTGTGATGAGGAAAGAAGACGTTAAGAATTTGGCACTCCTAAGGACTAAGGTCATAAAGATAATGAGGAAGAGTAAATCATAATAAATAAAAAGAAAAAATGAGCTTCAATTAAAAAAAGATGAACTCATTGGACTATTAATCATGGAATTAAAAATGTTTGAAGTATATATCTGATATGTATTTACATGTAAATGAAAATCTAAACAGGAAACGACCCCTTCAACCAGAAATATATCATTTGGCACTGTTTATAAAATATAATGAGATTACAATAGAATCTCCTGTCAACAATTACTTTTCCAACCATGTCGTTTACGAGCAAATAAAACTAGCTTCAAATTATTTTAGAAAGAACATTACGATGGCGGACAGAAAAGCTCATAATTTGAGTATGAGTGATGCAGGAGTTGTGAAATCTTGCATGCATTAATTTAAACTCTTCTTATTGGTAACTGCATTCTTTCTTTCCAGGTATACTAACATCTGACTGCTCAAAGACTTCAAATGTAACTAGTAGCGACTTCTCTTGAAAATGGACAAAATTTGGCATCGTGCTTAAAGAAAAAGTTCTTTTTTTTTACCCCTGCCACAAGGATTTATGCTAACATCGTTGTTATATTAAAGAATGATGCTCCAGCTTTATCAACAGAGCAAAAGTGGGAAACTGAATTTAGAATAGGAATGGAAGAGTTTTTAGGATGATCCAAGTTCACTGAAGTAAGCACTGGGCGTCAGCATTTAATAATGAGCAGCAACAAAGGAAAAAGTAATCAATAATAATGAGTTAGTCAAAAAAGAATAGCATAATATAGCTATAAAAAACAAGATCCAGATCCTCAATTATTCCAACTCAATAACCTCTATAATTATTTGAAACATAACCACCACCACCAATTCAATAACCGTTCGGGTAATATAATAGACCTTGCTACCCATAATGCACCAGTGAACAGCATCGAGCTAAACCACAACTGAAATGGCCTGAAGATTGTGTTCAAGCATGAAAAAGACAGTCACCGCTCTGTGTTGATTTCATATATATATATATATATATATATATATATATATATATATTTATATATATATATATATATATATATACATAAATATATATAAATATATATTTATATATATATATAAATATATATATATATATTTATATATATAAATATAAATATATATATTTATATATATATATATATATATATATATATATATATATTTATATATATATATATACATATATATATATATATATATATATACATATATATATATATATAATCGACTCTCCTGTCGCGTTCGACGTATGAGGGTCAGCCGATAAGTCCCCAGGAAACCGACATCCCGGCACATGAGATTTGTTTATAGTGGTGAAGGCCTCGTGCAGGACCAGCCACACTTTTTGGAGGGACGAATACAGAAACCTGGTGCACCGAATGCATGCCACAAGGTTCCCAAACGACCCTCCGCAGGTTTTGAATTCAGAGTTGTCCTTCTCCTAGACCAGTTGCCATCCAAGGCTATAGAACCCAGTCTGTGCTGCTATTTTACCCATAGCTGGAGGGAGATGAAGAGGATACATACCTTTCCCAAGGGTATTAGCACGTAAGTGAATGTAATGGATTCGACTGGAATTCGAACTCAATCCAAGCCGCTATCCACTGCTCCACCGTGCCTTATAATATGCCTGAGAAATCTTCACAGAAAATATTCGTCCTCCGTGAAAATTTCTCTGGAAATTTCTCGGACATTCAGGCCGGTAAATGTCGTTAATACTGTTTATTATAAACAGAGCATTTACTTAAATATTTTTATCTATAAAAAGAATGTATAAACATAAAATGTCTTAAAATAATTCTCAGACTTTGTCCATTTCCTAATATATATATATATATATATATATATATATATATATATATATATATATATATATATAACGTCATCCACACACACTATATATATATATATATATATATATATATATATATATATAGGGTGCTTAGAAATGATTAAAAGTTTCCGATGTTTTTATAAAATTAACAGCAATAAAAATGTATAACTACTCTACAAGCTTAAGAGAAGAATCGTAATGAAATCGATCAGAAACGAAAACGACATTTTCCTCATTAATTTATTAATGGCTAAGGATCGGAAGTTCATGAAATATTGAAATAAAGTTCAAATATATATATATATATATATATATAGATAGATAGATAGATAGATAGATAGATAGATGATCTTCGCCTTGTCTAACTTTCTGTCCTTGAGTAACAAGACGCCTCACACGTTTTAAATATGATTTCATTTTCACTTTTTTTTCACTGCTCTTTGAACTGTCAGAGTTGAAATTCCTCTCTCACGTATCAAGCGTCTAATGGATTAAATTGGATCTTTTCTAATTGATCTATTTAGCTCTAAGTTGAAATGATGATTCTTCTTCCTGTTATGACCTCCTGATCCAGTTTTCTATCTTTTTAAAACTTATTTACCGTTTTCTTGATGGTTTTTGAATAGACATTGAAGATGGAAGCCAGAGTATGAATGTTGGTGCCATTACTGAAGGTCTTAATGATCTTTTTCCTCTCACCATTGCTCATGTAGGAAGACAGCGGGACTGCCACAAAAAGATTTTAACCTGTTCTCTTTCTAGCTGAATAACTCAAAGGGTTTCTCAGTGATTCTTACCACAAATGGTGTCAAGATGGCTAAGCGTCATATCTGAAAACCTGGTAAAAAGAAACTCAATTAGATTAATGTTTGTTTTTTTTTAAGATATTTACATTCTGGGGATAGACAATTATGCTGCTGCACCCGGCATATCTATCTATCTAACATATATATATATATATATATATATATATATATATATATATATATATATATATATATATATATATATATATATATATACATATCTTAAAAGTAAATAAATGAAGATGAATAAAATTTTGAAGATGTCGAAGAAAGCAGCGAAAAATAATATGAAGGAATTAAATTTTGAAAAGAGAAAACAAAGAAGATAAACTCTAAAGAAATGAATCAGATCACAAAAAAAGTTAATTTGGGAAAAGAGGAAAAACGGAGAAAATAAATTTAAAAAAGAAGATAACTATATTATAGCTGAAGAAAAATGTAGGGAAAAAAAAGACAAGATGAAAACTCAAGCGAAGAATAAAGAAGGAAACGTGTTGAGCATGCATTTGTTGGACGATGAAGGAACCTGGTCAAACATTCAGAGATACGAAAATGCGAAGATAGACAGGATATACAAATAAATTCGATTATAAAGGACATTAATAAATGATGACTAAAATGCCAAAAACAGGAACGAAATAAAAAAAAAAATATATTTAAATCCAAAGCAGAAAACGAAAAAATCCCAAAAGTAAATAAAATAAAAATTGAAACATATCAATGAAAAATAAAATCTGGAAAGAAATACTTAAAAAAAAAAAGAAAAGAAAAGAAAAGAAAAGAAAGGGAACTGTTGCTGAATGAGCGGAAGACATTGCAAAAGACCGACAACGCCTCAGGGCAAGATACGCGCTCTCTATTGGCTTTGATAAAAGGCGGGAAAGGAAAGAAATAAGGAGAGCAATGAGTTGAATGTTTGAGGAGAGTAAGGGTTTGACAGGTTTGGGGATGTTTCAATGACTAGCAAATAGAAGAGCGAAGGTTCAAGTGTATTAATGAAAGCATATTTATACCTTCATCTGTTTATGCGTGAATCATTCAAGCGAATGGCATGTAAGGATCGGGCTTCTAAACCTCTCTCTACGGCAAGCGCTTCTTGGATTTTTGAGGTGAAAGTTTTAGTAGCAACTTAACATTGTTTCTGTGTGCATAGAGAAACAGTATAGTTAAAATTTCGAACGTCAATTTTACACCTTAAGGAGGTTATCCGTGCTTGGAAGATTGGCGCAATATAATCTTCCTAATTGTATTCCCTATTTGAAATGTGACGTACTAAGTTTAGGGTATGAATTAACATTAGGAAAAGAAACAAAAGAAAAAAGTGAGAGAATGAAGTGAAGAGAGAAAAAAAAGATGAAAACAAGAGGAAGACAGACGGAAAATAGTCAAGATGAATGAAAAAAAAATGGAGCCCAAAATAAAAGTGGGGAGAATGGAAAAGAAAATATAGATAAAGGGGTGAATGAGAGGAAAAATTAAAGAAATATTAAATGAAGGAAAGAAAAAAACGAAGAAAGTCAAGGAAAAGAAAAAGAATTATGAAAAGAAGGCAAAAAAGATGAAGAGACCAAAAGACAATAGGAAGGAAGGGAGGAAAGAGGAGAGAAAGGAAGAAAGTAAAGCCAAAGAAACATGAAAAGAGGGAACTAAAGATGAATAGACAAAGAAAGAAAGAAAGAAAGAAGGAAAGAAAGAAAGAAAGAAAAAAAAAGATGAAATAAATGTGAAAAGGCCCTAAAGATGAAACCAAAGATGAGACCAAAAAGAAAGAAAGGTTAAAAAAAACATGAAGAGGTTGAAGGGAAAAAAAACCCAATTAAATAGAGAAACTAATGACCATAACATTTTAATCAATAAAAACTGTTTCTGGCCAACTCTTCATCTAAAGCAGTGATTCCCAAAGTTTTTTTTTTTTCTGGGCCGCATTTTCGGTATTAAAATTTGCTCCAAATTTTATCTGATAAAAAGTATATTTAAAAATATAAAAAAACAGAGTAGTTTAAAGGGAGATAACTGCGGTTTCGAAGTCAGAACATTATCATTGATAACTCGTTCCTCCAATTTATGAACCCTAGTTACTATATTCTTAATACTTGATATAATACAAAAATATCACAGTGATGAAATCGGCCAATAATTATTTCTAATGGTTTATGCTGGGACTCTTTCCGTCGCACCTATGAAGAGAGCTACACTGCTCTAAAGACACTGCTCTAAAGACACCAATACTGGCATCAAACATCGATAAGTTACCACGCATAATCTAACTATTATGTGTTTCACATTCATGCTAGCTATATGCTAAACTTAATAAATACGAATGGTTCTATGCTTATTCTATTCTAAAAAAAAATGTCTCCAAATAAATCGAAATTTTTGCAGCTGGAGATATTTGAAAGAAGCTCGAATACTAGTCGTGATGGCACTTAATTGTATTAAGAACTGTGCATGTTGTCTTCTTTGCCAAAAAAAAAAAAGATTTTGGGAGGTGGCCAGGAAATTTTTCTGATCTCAATTTCATTGAGGATTGTGGAGCTATCATGAAGGAATATATTGAAAATACCTTCTTGGACTTTCCAAAGAACAACAGACCTCGCGAGAGCCATTCACGTGGAGGGTTTGGGAAAGTTTTCGTGGAGTTATAAGGCGAACAGCAACCATTCATAAATCTCCTTTGCTCCTTAGGTTAGATTTTTTAAATGCTTCCGGTTTGGAAATCAATGGAAAAATATTGATACTTCATTGACTTGCCAAAAAATTCGTTTTCTGATTTTGTATTTTTTTTTCCCCTTCTCTCATAGATTTTGATTCTTTGCTGGGAGTGGGGGGGTATGACTATGTCACGTTGAAAACACCGATTCCTATCCAATCAATTAAGTTAAGCAACGTTAGTACCAAGTTGGATGACCGACTGGGAATAACAGGTGTTTTAAGCTTAGATAGTGTAATGGATAAGGGCTCTGAATTGGAAATCGTAGAGCTGAGTTCAAAGTCCAATGTAGTTCATTATATTTACTTACGCGCAAATACCCTTGAGACGTTTCGGCTGTTGTACGCTTCGGCCTTCTTCAGTTAGAACTGAGTAAATAATGTAAATAATTACAATACCTCATTTCCGCAATAGAGACAGAAACATTAAAAAAGTATAAAATACATTTTTATAGTAACATTACAATAAATTTTTGTAGTCAAATTACCAACATTACATTTTTTTTTTCAAAATTAAAAGTAATTTTTCTAATCTACAAACGATATATCTAAAAAAAAACATACGTTCGTCCTGAAAGTATAAAATTATATACAAAATATATATGAATTGTGTATAAAATAGATTTCGGTATTCAATAGCACAGTGGTTGATATGCCACTAAACAAAATCAACAAAACTTTGATCATAGTTAAAGCATTGCATCCAAACAAGAAGAATGATAGTGTAGATTCTCTGTTAGAAATGGTAACTGATTCCAACTCAGGCAGGCTAAGGGATCGAGCAGATCCTCCACTCTGATTCGACGGTGAAAAGAGTGGCAGGCGTACATCAAAACAATCAGTTGTCGTCGTCGGTGGCTTTATCTCTGAAGTGGGGCCAAAGTTGGGACCACAGAAGGAAAACACGGAGCACGGATTAGAGGTAAGAAAGATATATTAACAACAGGTTACAGAGATAGTGTAAGCGGAGCTTACTATATGTTAGTGTCCAATACTGGTAGTCGTACGCGGCTCTCTCTGTCTCTCTATGTCTATGTCACTCTGTGTAGAGTGTTGTGTCGCATACTTAATATAGACCTGGAAGAGTCTATTGTGTAGATAGTTCCGGTCTCACAATAATCTCGTATCCATGAAGTTAATTACTTAGCTGATCGCTTCTTTTACGATGGTGGCGTTGATAATTAAATTCGCCACCAACGCTCAAGTTCAGGACTAGAAGCTTCCAGTTTCAGCAAAATCTGTTCCCGTCATTTCTTTCCCTATTGCCATTTGGCTTTGGAGGTGAAAGAAAATCAGAGTAGAAGAAAGTGCCGATGGCGTGATTTTGTTCAAGGTGGACCTCAACTTGCCGGGAAGGGAAACACACACTTGATCATTTGATTTATACTCTTCCTCTACGACATACGACATGGAATGAAACATACAGAATCCAGTTGTGAAACTGCAACAGACTGCCGCTGACTGTTGTAATTTCAAGTGGCGCCTTCTGCTGCATGTGCGTCATACCTAACCGTCTTCATCCGCTTGTTCAACCGTTGAGATCTGTTGTAATCGTCTTCCGCTTCTTCCAACGTTGGGGGTCTTTGGGGTTGGTTGCGCTTAGTCTGGGTGGCCCTACTAGGAGTGTAGAACTCTCGAAGGCATCGCTCTCAGAGTCATTGGACCATGCAAGCCTCTCCACCACGACAAGGAGCGACCTTCAGATGTAAACAAGCAGTATAATAATATAGTATCTTCCAGAATCTAAGATCTACTTATAGTTACTGTATTTGGAGTTTTTGACAGATATATCTGCTATGCTTATATTGGGATTAGTTTTCCTAAGAAACCTGAAAAATTTTGACTGATTTGTTTTTTACGGCTTATCGACCCTTTGCTATTATTTAAAGGTAGAAAATATTTTTAGATTATAAGTATTTTGGGGGAGACAGTAACGTTTTACTGATACAAATCCTATTAATTAACCCATAGCTGGGGGAGAAGGATTGGATTCAAATGCTTTATAATGGTACTTCTGCGTAAGAGGATAAAACGTATCCGACCGCAATTGTAACTCGGCTTTCTTCTGATTTCCAATCCCGAGCCGTTACACATTACACCGCCCGCATATCTATTATTCTCAAGCGGTCACCCAACTAGGTACTGACAAGGCACGATGATGCTTAACTTCGTGGATTGTACGAGAATCAGACACTCTTGTAACATGCTTGGATCATGAAGATGAAAAATTGGAAAACTCATAAGGGCCATCTTACGGTGGCTACCTCATTTTCTATGTAACTGTTTCCCTCCAGGACGTTGGCGATCATGGCTCTCCACAACTTCCTCATTTATCGCTTTTAGTACAGACAAACCTCTCATTTACGAATCCCCCGTTAATAAAATTCGGATGCAACACACAAAATCTGCAGGCAAAATAAAAAAAAAACAACCTCCAAATCGTCAACGCTGTATTTCAAAATTTGAGGGCCTAGCAGAACGAATCGTATTAGTTGACAAAGTGACCGCTTGGCGGCGGTGGCAGACATTTTAATTGTAAACAAAGAAAGGTGTACAGTATATAAAGTACGATACATTAACGCGTGGGTGAGAAAGTAGCTGTGAAAAAAATCTATTATTTTTGTTATTTTGATTGATATATTAATTGTTCTGCCCTCGATACATTAACGCGTGGGTGAGAAAGTAGCTGTGAAAAAAATCTATTATTTTTGTTATTTTGATTGATATATTAATTGTTCTGCCCTCGTCATGGCATCGAAGCAGAAAGAAAGTGTAACAAGGAAGCGTACAAACCTAAGTATCAGGGACAAATTTCCATCTACGGACAATCAGATTTAACGGACCCCCTGTCCCACTATTAGTCCGTTGATCAGAGGTTTGTCTAATTTTTATTGCTTTTACTATCCCTTACCCACACTATTCTATTATCCATTTACACAAGCTTATGAGGTAGGTTATTCGATGTTTCCATCATGCCTTTAATATGTCTTGTGACTGTCAAATTTTCCTAGCCTCCTCTTATCACTGTCTTCCAAATTTCAATTATCTGCTTCCGATTCTGAGTATGTGTTTCCATTGTTTTCTTAAAACTAAATTGTTACTCACA